AAATCACCACCCGAAGCTTTGCACAGCCCTAATAATTATCTGAGCTAATATGATACAAAACAGTTGTGTCTCAAACTCTGCAGAACCCAGATCAGCTGGTATGTTATGCCTCCCACTAGGTCATCTATATGGTGATGAAAAGGTTACATGGCATAAGAAATATAAATATATTCATTGTTACATAGAGCATTTAGAGCAGGAACTCCCAGGTTCTACTTCTGCTTGGCCACTGTTGGACACAGCCTTGTGAGAGCCAGGTAATGTCATGCCGCAGTTTACTGTCCAGTGCATACTTGATTAATGCTGCTTTGTGAATAAAAATGAAGAGGTTTTTTTTTTGTTTTTTTTTTGTTTTTTACTGAAAACAGCTGAATATTAAATGTAGTGGTTGAGCTCTATTTAATCTGTGTACTTTTGGAGGGGGGTTTCAGAATTATTGAAATCCTTTTGCACATATCTCCATAGAATTGTTAGGAAAAAAATATACGCGACAATGGGTGGCAACACCTCCAGCATGTAGCATGGGCAGCTAAATTTAATTTATGTAGATGTTCCTGGTTATCCTGTAAAATTTGGTAATTCCCCACCACTCCTTTCTTTCCTCCTCTCTCAGAAAAAGCCTAAACATCATAGGGACTATGAAAGAATTATTAAACAAAGTAGGGTGACATGTGTCTTTGATGGAGAAAAAGAATTCTTTCATGAATAAAACTGAGTGGAATATAGTTTTGTATCAAAGGACGCATTCATGTAGTTGGGATATTAGGCTGCTGACACATGATATTGTTAAAGCAGCATGTTTTAGATAGCATTTTAAACACAGGGGCTAGGGACGGACATTACACACAAAGCAGTTTAAGGGATCAGAAACTGGTTTTAACCTGTAGCAGAACATAAGTTCAGTGCAAATAAACCAGTTTCAAAATGGATGAAACTGATTTAAGATAAACCTGGCTGAATGTACTGTCAGACTTAACTGATTTGGGTCAAACTAATTTATGCAATGCCTGTCCCAGACCCCTTCCTGGTTTAAGTTAAACCACTGCAGCAGCCCTGATGCTTTGCAGCCCTGGGCTGCGATCTCTGCTCCAGAGATCAGGGCTGGTCTTGCCCCTCTGCTCCCTAGCCAGAGCTCCACTGCAGGTACAGCAGCATCTGCCTGGCTTCCCCCTGTTTCTTCACACCCCCCCACCTTGCTGCTCACTGCTCAAGCAGGTCTGCCCCCCTCCCTCCCATCTCCCACAGCACAAAGCCCAGCCCCATGGACCCTAGGCATGTGGTATGCTAGCTAATGCTGAGGGGGTGTGTGTGAGTATGTCCAATTTCACTGGGACAGGCAGACAGAACAGTGTCTGCTCAGGGCTTTTTAGAGCTAATCAACAGGTCAGCTGGTAATGTTTATGCCTGCCTTCCTTGGAGAACGGTGTTTAAGAAGAGCTTGAACTAATGAGAGAGGCTTTTGTTTTGTTGATGGGCTGATAAACACTGTTATCAGCTCCCTGCTGGCTCCCTCACCTATCAGGTTTTCTGCAGACAGTGTGACGAAGCAGGGAGAGGGAGATTGAAAAGCTCAGTATCATCAACAGATGCATGCACTGCACCACACCTCTTTGCATCAGAGCACTCAGCACTATAGAAGGGGAGGGAGGGCTTCTCTGGCCCGCTTCCCCCTCCTCCCCTGGCTTCTAGCCTGAGCCTTGCAGGTGTGTGCCAGTATTTCGTCAGTCCAGAGGAAATGTCTGGATGGTTACAAACTGGGTCAACCTAGGCAGGTTAGACTAACCTGCAAAGATTGAATCAATTCAGGCTCAGGTTTTTTTGAAAGTCTGTCCCTAGCATACATGCTGCCTTTCTTTTATCAAATGTTAAGAGATGATGTTGAAGATAAAAATAAAAATAATTTGTATATTTGTTTTCCTTCATCCTGAGCTTTTTGATAATGATTGAGTTAGTGCATTGCTCATAACATTTTGCTTGATTTCATATTTTTAATGAAAAATCAATCAAACTCCATTAAGTCTCTTGTATGGATTTGGTCAGGCATAGCTAATAAATACCCTTGATTGCTCTGAAATCCCAAGATGTAATGCAGTTTAAACATTCAAAAATATAATATCAAGCATGCCATATGTCTGATGTTGACTGTAACATCCATCTTATTCTGTGCAGATTGCGTTTTCAGGCAATTACGTAACAGGGATCTAGAATAGAGATTTTTGTCTGTTGGCGGATTTGTGTAACCAGTTAACTGGATTATGGGACCTCTTGTCTTCCCTTCCATGTGTCTCAAAGCTACATGATATCCTTGAGGAATGTTGTATGTGAGTCAGCTAAAAGAAGTGTATAATAGCAAAGGTCAGCTCCTTTCTGATGATCAGTGTATTCCTCCATTTTCATCTGGTCATGTCAAAAACTATGTGGAAAAGATAATCCTAAAACAGGAACGTAATTTCTTTTCTGACCAAATCAATCCTGCTTGTGGTCAGAAGTCACGTAATATCTGTAACGTCACACCCTCTCTCCCTGCATCGGATCGTCCCGCAAAGGAATGTTCAGATTTCGCACCAGAATCTTGAACGTCTCTGGTTAGCTTCTAGGCTACTGGGATTACCTGGAGTTAATTGGGGGTGACAATTTTGCAGAAACATCAGTATTTCTTGTAAATGGGCTTGGGTGGCTTTCAAACACACTGCATACAAATCAAATCAAGACATCAGAAATCTCGCATTCAGATTTAGACATGCCACTGGGTGCTACTGACAGGTACATGTCGTGTGACTGTAGCTGGGTTGCCAGGATAAAACAACTGTTCTCCCAAAGAACCTCTGATAATGTTTCTGAAGATTAAACATCTCTTTTGCACTATGATTTTCTTGGGGTGTTTTTTTTTTTTTGGACTCTGCTCTGCAGCCTGTTTGATCCTTTTTTCTAACCACAGCAGTTAGCAACAGGCAATCTCATATTATACCTGGTTAAATACTGTTGGTTTAAATGTTGAACCCTCACCCAAATATTATTGGGATAACCTCTGCCTAAGGAGTAAGTGAATAAATGGGGTAAGAAGGAGGGGAAAAATCCCTTTTAAAAACAGGGTGAATATAGTGCAGAGTGAAAAGCAGTCATTGTGCTCAGACTAGAGAGGAGAGGGGAAAAAAATCCTGGAATAGACCGTATGGGTCAGATTATAATTGTCTTGAAGTGAATAGCAAAACTTCCTTTGACTTCAGCAGAGTCTAAATTTCAAGCCATATTGTTCTTGTTTGTGTTGCAGTAATACAGTGGAGTCCAGGGCTTCTGTGCATTCAGTAGAAATTCAGAATGAAAAATTGTTTCATGCTGCAAAGCAGGAACTCTCAAAATTCAAAGTTTTTAAAAGCTCATAAAAACACTTTTTTGATTTAACTCAAATTTCATGAGTCTAAAAACACTAAATTTCAGAGAACCCAAACCTCCAGTCCTCCCCTCAGCTTTCCTTAAATATTTTTCACTGTGCTTCCCATGTGAAAATTCAGTAAATCTTCAGAGTACTTAGTCAACAGTTCAGGGACGTAAAGTATGAGAGAGAGAGAGAGAGAAGAAAAAACTCAACACTTTTTTCAGAATATTGTCCACATGCAATAGAACAATGTTTGGATTAGATATGCTACATTCAAGATTAGAAACCATGAGTGAGAGCAAAGCTGAACTGCAGTTTCTTGATTATCTTTTCTTACATAACTGTATTGAAAAAATAAAAGCAGTCAGCATAATTGTTCTTTAGCTATTATAAGAGCTGTGAAAAATTCCACACTGGGGTTTTCTCTGATTTTTATCTCTGCTGAGGAAGGTTTTTTTTTTTTTATTTTCACTGCAGTTTTGTGCACTAGGGAGTTGTCACGGCTGTGTTTTAGCTCTTTAGCACCAGTCCGGTAGTCACAGTTTCTGAGTCCATAGCTGCAGAAAACATTTATACCATGACTGTCCAATTTCAGAGCCCCAGGGGGACACACACCACACAGGCCGTGGACCCTGGGCCACATGCTGCACAGGCTGCATGCCATGGGGGCTGCAGGGGCTCCTTGGGAGCCCTGCCACCCAAACAGCATTATTTTCCCCCCCCCTCCCCC